CCCAAGTAGCTGGGACCACAGGCGCCCGCCACAACGCCTGGCTATTTTTTGGTTGCAGCCGTCATTGTTGTTTGGCGGGTCCGGGCTGAGGATTCGAACCCGCCACCTTAGGTGTACGTGGCTGGCGCCTTAGCCGGTTGAGCTATAGGCGCTGAGCCTGTAGCTTGTATTTTCATTCCCCATTATATTCCCTGCTTGGTCCATTGTAATACACATACCTAATTTTTAAAAAATTGATAGATTTTAATTTTTAGACAAGCTGTGGTGCTCACAGCAAAACTGAGCTGAAAGTTTGCACAGTCCCAAGATACTCTCCCTCTGCACCCATCTCCCCGGGGAGTGGTCTGTCTTTATAGTCCATGAGCCTCTGTCACATCATCATAGTTATCACCCAAAGCACTTCTTTTACTCACCCTCCGAGGAGTTGTGTGGAAAGGCTAATCCCTTTCCTCCTGCTGGTGCTGTGGTGCTGCCTTGCAGCCTCCAGGCCTCCTGGAGCAGCAGCTCTACCTCTTGGGTGGGAAGCTTGGGAAGGTTGGGAAGGTGGAATTGACGCCACCTGAGAGCTGAGCCTGGAGTGGCCCTCCTGTTGCTGTGTCTTCTGGTCAGAAAGTTTCAAGCTGGGCTCCAAGGTGGGTCTCTGGGAATACTAGGGGGCTGTGGGCGGATGTAACCCTGTGCCTGCCTTATTTCATCCAGGCCCAAGGCCCTGGGGACTGACACTGCTGGTACCAGGCCTCCTCAGCTGCGCCATGGCCACCCCAGATGTGAGCGTCCACATGGAAGAGGTGGTGGTTGTGACAACCCCGGACACTGCAGTGGATGGCAGTGGTGTGGAGGGGGTGAAGACGGTGCTGGTGACAACCAACTTGGCTCCTCATGGGTAAGGACTGGCCTCAGTGCCACTGGGGTTGTGCAGGGCTTAGGCTGGTTTGACCCTGGTGTGGCGGGTGAGCCCAGGGTTTTCTCTACTTGTGGTCATTCTAAAACTTGACTCAGTGTCTGTAAGTAGAGAGCGTGACGAGTAACAGAAATGTTGCACTGGCTGGAATCCAGCTGTAGATGCTGTGAGGACGCTTCATCCTCTCCTGCAGAGACATGGCCTGTGCTCTTCATGTTCTAAAATACGCTCTGCTTTCTCTTTTGCTGAGGTGGAACAGCAGGGATGGTTGGGAACTGTTTTCGGAAATGAAGCTGAAGAAACAGTGATTTTCTTGATGTTCCTCAAGAAACTGTTTTTTCCTTAACTTCCTACGAGAAATGCACTTCAAATGTTAGTTGTAAAGTGCTCACATTTGCCCAAACTACCAGCTTTCTTCCTCTGGCCATAGGTGGGCCTATGAGGAGGTGGTGGTATGGCTCTTGGCCGAGAAGGGCATCCCTGCCCCACTGGGGTGCTGGGCAACTTTCTGGGTGAAGGTCCCCCGAGTCCTTATTTGCCCTGTAGCGGCTGGGCCCTCAGGCTAGGTTGGCTTTCCCAACCTTCTGTCTTTGGCATCACTGTGGAGTCCTCAGGCTGGCCTCAGATGTCATTGAGGGGAAGCTTTTGACTTTCTCCCTGTGGGAAGGGGCACCAGGTGGCCTTGGCTGCAATATGTCACCTCCGTCATCCAGGTCTCCTCTGCCTCCTAGTGCCTGGACATCTTCACCTGACATTGTCAGCATCTGTAGAAGAATGTGTCTATCTTCTCACTTGTCCTGTAGACCCATGACCAAGTACAGGTTTAGGGATGGAACTAAGACTGCCCCTTGGCAGGAAGTTACAAAATATCATAGTGGTTTCTGTGTTGGCTGCAGTCTGTCTTCTGGCCTGGTCACTTGTCTACATCTTACCTCTTCCTGAACCCTGTGGGTCTCATCCAGGGGTGGCATCTGGCCCAAGGCCATGGCCTCACAGGCTCCACTGGGTCTGGGTGAGTTGAGGTGTTTGGAGGTGATGCCTCCTGATTTAAAGACCCCTGAACTAAAACCCCAGACTCCCTCCCCGCCTCCCATGATGACAGCAAGACCAGGCAGGCAGCTGGTGGGTCCTTTTGAAAAGTCACCATGCCGGCCTTTGAGGTGGGCCCTTTGCTGGATATGGCCTTAGAACTCTGCAAGGCTGGGAGAAAGTCTTACACCCTGAGGCCATTTCTTTTTTCTTTTTTTTTTTTTTTGAGACAGAGCCTCAAGCCCAGCCCCTGGGTAGAGTGCCATGGCTTCACTGCTCACAGCAACCTCCAACTCCTGGGCTCAAGAGAGTCTCCTGCCTCAGCCTCCCAAGTAGCTGGGACCAGAGGCACCCGCCACAACGCCTGGCTATTTTTTGGTTGCAGCCATTATTGTTGTTTGGCAGGCCCGGGCTGGATTCAAACCCGCCACCTTAGGTATATATGGCTGGCGCCTTAGCCACTTGAGCCACAGGCGCCAAGCCAAGGCCATTTCTTATGTGCGAGTCTTGCCAGCTGGGAACTGGGGATATAAACATTCTGATCCCTGTTAATCCCTATGCATTTTTTTGTTTGAGAGAATGATTATCCAGCTCCCAAGAAGCCAATGGTGCTTTCTGCCTTCTGCCTACATGTTCCTTACGAGGCCCATATACTAACTCGAGTGTTTCCTGGCTTTTCATCTCCTCTGCTCCCGCACATTGGCTCTTCCCACCCCCTGTAGCTTCTGCTTGGCCTTGGCCCCAGCCCAGCCTCCACCTCTCCAGCCACAGCAACATCATGTGGATGACAGTACACCTACTCCTGGCTCTGTTTTTGTAGTAGTTTGCTGCATAATAAACTAAAAGAAAACATCTTCACTTAAATAACAGATATATTGTTTCTTAAGATTTTCTGGTTCAGGTCAGTGCTCCTGGGCCCCACCGGGTAGTCTGTGGTATCTGGAGGCTCTCTGCATGAAGCCCTCACCCTCCAGGATATGCCTGGGTTTGTTCAGCCAGCTTGGGAGCCTCGGGCCTCCTGGGCCTGGCAGGAGCCTGTTGGTTGGCCCACAGTCAAGTAGTGGTAGGCGATGGCCCCATCGTCTTGGAGGGGCTGCGGCAGTCAGGATCTTCCAGGTAATGGCTATGTCATCAGGATGCTGAAGCATTGCCCCTGTCGGCTGTCAGGCACAGTAGAGGCTGTGTATGTCTCTCCCTTTGTTGAGAGGGCCCCCGCAGCCATGGAAGCTGGTCTTCTCAGGGCCCCAAGACTCTCCCTCCTCCTCTGCTACAGGAGATCTCACCTTACTATTTGGAAGTTGAGATTTAGTCTTGTTACATGTTTTCATAAAATGTGGGGGAATGTAAGGGAGTTAATTGCTTTGTGGGTGCAGATGATTTCTTTCCTGGTTGGCTATTTGGGGAGAGCCTGGAAGCTGCCCTTGCTCACTGCTGTGCATGATGATGGGCGCACACGCTTTGTACACAGCAGCAGTCCACACACTGGTCTGCAATGAGTGACATGGACATTTTCCAAATGAAGTTTGTTAAAGTGCAGATGGCAGTTCTTGGATTCTCTCTTTTTTTTTTTTTTTTTGAGACAGAGCCTCAGGCTGTCCCCCTGGGTAGAGTGCCATGGCATCACAGTTCACAGCAACCTCCAACTCCTGGGCTTAAGTGATCCTCTTGCCTCGACCTCCCAAGTAGCTGGGACTACAGGCACCTACCATAATACTTAGCTATTTTTTGGTTGTAGTTGTCATTGTTGTTTGGCAAGCCCAGGCTGGATTAGAACCCACCAGCTCTGGTGTACGTGGCTGGTGCCTTAGCCACTTGACCTACAGGCGCCAAGCCTGGGTTCTCTCTTGAGGGTGGTGAGGGCCTCTCAGCATTGTCCTGAGAGGGTCACTCCTCTGTGCTCAGTACACTAGTGTATCTGTGGAGCAGAGGGTGGGTGAGTGGCAGCTGTATCGTGGGGAAGGCCACAGTGCCACCGTATGTCTAGCCCTTGGTGGCCTCAGGCCCTTCTTTGTGGAGTGTCTTTGTGGTGAGGTTTGCCTGGTGACCAGAGTCTGGCTTATCAGAGCTTCCCTACCCATGAACTTGTCCTGGCTGCTGGCTAAGGGCTCACTGCTGCCTGTGCCACCATGCTCTGCTCCAGCCGAGTCCTGGCTTAGCGAGCATGTCCTCTGAGCTCTCCTTGCATTTCCACTGCTCTCATGTTATATGTACAAAGAACAGACTCCATGTTTGTAGTTTTCTTCTGAGAGAGAGCCTCACTCTGTCACCCTGGGTAGAGTGCCATGGTGTCACAGCTCACAGTAACTTCGGACTCTTGGGCTCAAGCAATTCTCCAGTCTCAGCCTCCCAAGTAGCTGTGACTACAGACTCTTGCCATAATGCTCAGCTAAGTTTTCTATTTTTAGTAGAGATGGGGTCTTGCTCTTGCTCAGACTGGTCTCCAACTCCTGAGCTCAAACAATCCACTGCCTCAGCCTCCCAGAGGCCTGGGATTATAGGAGTGAGCCACCATGCCCGGCCCATTTCCTCCATTTCTGAACTAAATTAGTGTAACAGAAGTTCTATAGAGAGCAGTGTCAACAAAAAGTGTTTAAAGGATGCTGTTTGCTGTAGACACTGTGCTTAGGGACCCTGATCTTCTCTTTCCTTTCACCATGTGCCAGGGGTGACCTGACAGAGGACCACATGGAGACAGAGAGTGCAGCTGCTGCAGCCGCTGCTGCCTTCACAGCCTCCTCACAGCTCAAGGAAGCCGTGCTAGGTAGGGGGTCCTGTACCTGCAGGGCAGCTGCAGCACTGCCTGCGGCTGCTGGGAGGAGCAGAATGGGTCAGCCCCAGACTTCGCAGGGCTTTCTTGCTTAGGGGTTTTGTTTCCTTCTCAGTTTCTTTCTTCTTCTTTTTTTTTTTTTTTTTGAGACAGAGCCTTAAGCTGTCCCCCTGGATAGAGTGCTGTGGCTTCACGGCTCACAGCAACCTCCAACTCCTGGGCTCAAGCAAGTCTCCTGCCTCAGCCTCCCAAGTAGCTGGGACCACAGGCGCCCGCCACAACGCCCGGCTATTTTTTTTTTTTGGTTGCAGCCATCATTGTTGTTTGGCGGGCCCGGGCTGGATTTGAACCCGCCGCCTTAGGTGTATGTGGCTGGCGCCTTAGCCGCTTGAGCCACAGGCGCCGAGCCTGAACCACAGTTTAATGGAATTATATGAGTGCCCTATAGTTGGTCTCTTTGGCCAGGGGGCTGTACCGTCCCACCATTGTTTGTTCTTGGGCCTTCCTGGTTTTAAATTTTTGTTCCCAGATTGGCAGCTATTTTCTGCATGTATAGGAAGTGCTTGCAGAGGTTGTAACTTACTTTCTGCCTTTGCTCTTTCCTGTCAATGTGCCCATGAGAAGTGAAGATGGCGGAAGAGGGTGAGAACCTTGAGGCTGAGATCGTGTACCCCATCACCTGCGGGGACAGCAGGGCCAACTTGATCTGGAGGAAGTTTGTGTGTCCTGGTATCAATGTGAAGTGTGTTCAGGTAAGGGGATTCTGTTTGGAAGAATTCACCTTTTCTCAGGTTTCAAGTAATTTCCAAGGAAAGGAGCAGCTCACAGTAAAACATAAAATGCTAGACACACAGACAAGAGCTCCAGTGAGCGTGCAGAGGCAGGCAGCAGAGATGGGCTGCAACAGCTCAGGTGTTGGCATTTTAGACATGGGCTATAAAATAATAATATTTATATCAGGAAATAAAAACATGAGCAAAACAGTAGATTTGTCAAAAACACAACAAGAAAAACAAGATTAACATTAAACACAGCAGCCAGGACGTATAGCAGATCAGATGTAGCTGAAGAGATAATTAGTGAACTGGAAGATAGAACTAAGAAATCCTTTAGAGTATAGTCTATAGAAATAAAAATAGAAGCTGGCTTGGTGCCTGTAGCACAGAAATAAAAATAGAAACATGAGAAAGTCTAACTCATCTGTTAAAGTTGTGGAAGGAGAAGAGAGAAAGGCTGTGATCTTTTATAACCAGTGAAAAAGAGCAGTGCCCAGTGCAGGAGCCCTGACCAGTGCCAGGCTGGATGAACATACCCTCATTGCCTCCATATGGAGAGTTTATCACCAAAATACTGATAGTCATGGATTATAATTCAAGTGACATAGAATCTATGGGATGTGCTAGCGTCCTGTGCCATGTTAGGGAGTCATGTATGTACGTGTCATTTATGGAGTAAACTGCACAGAAGCAGTTTGCTGAGTCCTGTCTGGAGGAGCAGAGGGTCACACGACCTCAGCCCAGCCAACCCTGCTGGGCTCTCTCAGGTCGGGGGCAGCACTTGCATCTGAGACCACAGAGCCCTTCTGCACGGCAGCCGCTACACCAAGGGTGTGGGTCCTTCTTGTACCAACGTTCTGCAGGGGTTGGGCGAGAGAGAAGGGTGACCCCACCTGCCCCTCGGAGCTGATCCCAGGCTGCTGTGCTCCCTCCACAGTATGACGAGCATGTGATCAGCCCGAAGGAGTTTGTGCATCTAGCGGGGAAGTCCACCCTGAAGGACTGGAAGAGGGCCATCCGCATGAACGGCATCATGCTCAGGTGGGTGGTACAGGACACACAGCAGCCACTGTTTCTCCTTTGCTTTTGAGATTTTTGGACCAAGTCTGTTGGGACATGGTGAGTGTTGACTATCTCTTCAGTGTCTTTCCCCACATCCCTCCCAACATGAACACTGTCAGATGTTTAGAGTTTTTCTGTCAAATATTTTAATTTCCACCAATTTTTACCTGGAGCCCTTGTGGCTGTTTTACTTTCAGAAAGTTAGGATATAGTCTAGTGTTTGTGCATCAGATAGCTGTCATGTTTAATCCCTTAGTGTGGCTTTTTATAGTAGTCTCTGTTTTTGTCCTTTTTATCACTTTCTGGGCGTAAACCAGGTGTGTGCAGTTGTTTTCTTTGTGACTCATGAGCCACAGCCACCGTCTGTGTGCTTAGAGCAGTGGTTCTCAACCTGTGGGTCACAACCCACAGGAACTGTATTAAAGGGCCATGGCATTAGGAAGGTTGAGAACCACTGGCATAGAGGGTACAGACACCACAGGGCTGGTGGGTGTGGCCTCTGCTACGCCGTTGTGATCAAGGACACTGCTTTGTGTGGAAGTTGGAGCCTATCTGTAGGCTGGGCCTGTCCTCCCCCTGGCACTTGGCCTTGTGTGCTATGCAGCCTTGATTCTTTAGAGTATGGCTGGTGGTTCAGCAGTAGAGACCCCCAGTGCAAGTGCTGTGCTCGAGCCAGCCCAGCTGGCACCTGAGGCCAGCACTGCCTGAAGGCCTGGTGAGGCTGGAGCCTCTGACTCCTTTTCCTGGGGTCATGGCAGGTTCGTCCAGGCAGACTAGGCTGAGGCCTGGGACCTCCAGGAGGGGCAGCTCCAGGCAGTCAGGTTGTGTGGGGCCTTCCTATGAAAGATGGTGGGAAAAGTGGTTGTACCCATATCACTCTCCTTTACGATCCCTGCCTTCAAAGGGCCAGGGCTTCAACTAAAGGCCCTTCCCTCCCTGGGTCAGAACTGGGTTGACAACAGTGCTGGTGGCTGGGCCCACCTTAGGCCACTCTAGGTCTGCCCCAGTCCTTAGGCCACTCTAGGTCTGCCTACTGGGGCTGGGGAAGCAGAACATCCTGGAAAGGCCCAGCCCCATAGTGAGGCTGAGCATCTTAAGGGCCTGTGGCTGGCACTCTTCACCTCCTTCCTGTGGCCACTGAGGGCCTGGGCAGCTGCGGGTTCTGATGCCCAGAGCAGAGTTCTCCTTGCTTTGGGGGGCACACATGGGCGGCATCCCTGCTGGGGCCTGCCCCCATGTTCGGGAGGGCGTGTCAAGCAGCTGGAGAGGCTCTCTGACCCTGGGCCTGACCCAGACACCCCTGGTCCTCTGTCCCTGCCCAGGAAGATCATGGATTCTGGGGAGCTGGACTTCTATCAGCATGACAAGGTCTGCTCCAACACCTGCCGCAGCACCAAGATTGACCTCTCGGGGGCCCGTGTGGCCCTTAGCAGCCCTGCATCTGCCGAGTACATCCCCATCACGCCAGCTGCGGCTGATGGTAGGTGCATGGGGCTGCCTGCTGGTCAGCACCGCCCCTCCTAGCCTGGCCTCAGGAGTCTGCCCCTGCCAGGGCCCTGTAGTCGGGGCGGGGGGGGGGAGGTTAGCCTCCTCCTGCCTCACAAGGGGGCTGGCTGAATTGCTTTTTTCATCACAGGGAGATCAAAGTCCATGTCTTCTTAAGTCATTGTTGTCCTGATGGTTCACATGTGGTGAAGAACATAAGGGCATGAAGGACCCTGGAGCCCCCACCTCCTCCTCCCACCCCATACCCCTGTTCCAAATTCGGAGCTGCTCCACTTGTCACTGCGGTGGTCAGTGTGGTGTCTCCCCCCAGCCTGCTGTGCTGGGCATCCTGCTCAGTGTCCCTGCTGCTTGGGGTTTTGGATGATGCTGTTCTTGGTGATATCTGTAGTTCTAAACTGTAGAAAGATTATAGTCTCTGGAATTCTTTCTAGCTTCATAAATACATTCTTCTTAAAAGGGAAGTAAAAGTGAAATTAAGTCCTGAGTTCCCTGGCTGTGTCATTGGTGATCTCTGGCAGTGTCATATTGCCATTAATATTATGTGCAATTGTCCTAGGCTGCCCCTCCACAGTGAGGGATGGAGTGTGTTTCTGGGTGACCAAGAACATCCTTGTCACCAGCCCAGACAGGGACCAGGAAGCCCTTGACCTATCCCTCACCCTCCACCCTGGGCTCTTTTCCTTATGCTTCGCCAGAGCAGATGATAGGTTGCAAAGCTGAGTGCTGAGATGTCCAGGACTCTTGGGGTACTATAGGGAGGGGCTGGTCTCTGTCAGCCCTTCCTTGGTCAGTAGTTATGGTTTGTAGCCATCAGGGAGGAGGTGATTTGGCTGCACCAAAGCCACAGTCTGGTTGCTGAGGTGGTTAGGGTAGAGGCCCTCTAGGAGGTGTGTGAAACCAAGAGGCAGTGGGGGTTGGTCAGGAGTTCCCAGTGGGTTGTGGGGACTCAGGCCCAGCCTCCTGTCTGTCCGCCCTCCTGACAGCAGCCTCGGTGATTGGCCCAGCAGACCAGCTCTGTTAACACTGTCTCCCAGGCCAGGACCAGATTTCCTGAACCCTACAGCTGGTGTCTTCTCTGCTTAGGCAAAGTTAGGTTTAGGGTTTAGCTTTTCCGATGATTTGGTTTCTTCAGCCTGAAATCTCTAAGAACCTTTGACTTGGTTATTATGTAGTCAATAAAGGAATATATATTAGCCCAGATCATGAAAAACATTATTCCTGCCCCTAATGATTCCAAATATGCAGTAATATTCACCACCCCGACGTACTTAACAAATCTGGGAAGTGCAGCATGGGGTTGGAAATTCTCCTCAAACATGGACCTGTTTAGAGATGTGTTTAAGCCAGGCTCACATAGTCTCACATGTAAACTGGGCCAGCAGTTGTGTTTTTTGCTACTAAAATGGGCTCAACAGATAAAGCAAGATAGATACTTGGTATCTGTCCCGAAGTCCCACCTGATGCTAAAAGATTTACAATGGCTACAGGGAACATGGCATAAGGACGTGAGGCAAGGTCCAGCCATGGAGCAGCTCAGCTGAAGGTCCTGCCTCACTGCAGGATTGCGCACAGAGGCCCACCTGGGATGGGTGTGAATCCAGCAGGAAGAGCAGGGTGTGGAGGGCTGTTGGAACCAGGCAGTGAGGTTGAGTGGTGGCTGTCCTGCTCTCCCCTTAAAAGTCCATGCCTGGCTACTTGGGAGGCTGAGGCAAGAGAATTGCTTAAGCCCAAGAGTTCACTCTACCAAGGGCAAAAAAGTGAGACTCTGTCTCCAAAAAAAAAATAAAGTCCATGCTTGGCTATGCCAGCCTGTGTCGAGCTGGTCAGTTGTGTGAGCATGGTGGGCAGGAGAGGTGCACATGCAAGGGGCCAAAGGAGGTGGGTGTGGACCTGGCACTGGTGCTGCGCTCAATGAGCCTTCTCTTGGCTGCAGTGAATGGGTCTCCCGCGACCATCACTATAGAGACCTGTGAGGACTCTGGCGACTGGACGGCGGCCATTGGAGGTATGGAGTTCCCCGTGGGGTTCTCAAGACCGAAGGGCTGGGTGTTGTGGTTCTGTGCCTGCCACAGGCCACATGGACTCCAGGAGTCAGCTGGGCTGGGGGCCTGCACAGATAGGTGGGCTTTGGCCACTGTCCTGGATGGTCCCAGGCCGAGTCCTGTGGCCAACCTGTGGGACATAGTTGTTGTGCTATGGGTGAGTGACAGGGGCCCACCTCAGCACAGCATGCTGCTGGCCCCGACTGGTGTCCTCTGCTGTCCCCTGCACTTCCCCACGGTGGCTGCCCTATGTTGCGGGGGCCCTTCCTGCCCACAGAGCCCCCTCCTTCCCTCACAGATGACACGTTTGCCTTCTGGCGGGGTCTGAAGGACGCAGGCCTGCTGGATGAGGTTGTGCAGGAGTTCCACCAGGAGCTAACGGAGACCATGAAGGGCTTGCAGCGGCGAGTCCAAGACCCCCCCTTGCAGCTCCGAGGTAAGGGGCTCCTTTGCAGCCAAGCCAGGCAGCGATACAGCGGTAGGGGCTTGGCCCTCCTCCCTCATGCCCTCTGAGTGGCCAGAATGAAGGCTGAGGCTGAGTGCTAGGCACGGGAAGGTTTCCCGCATGTGTCTCTGTTGAGTGGGGCTCCTCTTGACCATGGTATCCTGCAAAGCCTACCCATCTGGGATTTTTGCCCCTGAGGGCTAGATCCTCACAGTGTTTGTACACTACTCCTTTAGATGCTGTGCTCCTCAACAACATTGTGCAGAACTTCGGCATGCTGGACCTGGTGAAGAAGGTACTGGCCAGCCATAAGTGCCAGATGGACCGCTCACGGGAGCAGTATGCCCGGGACCTAGCAGGTACTCCAGCCATACCACGGGCTCCCCCTTCTGCAGGTTTCTCTGAGCCTCAGCCTAGAGGGCCAGTCCATGAGTACCCATAGCTGTCATACAAGGACATGGTAACTTGACTGATGCAGAGACTTTATGGGGATGTGCAGGTCACCTCCATGGGCCAGCATTTCTGTGGGGAGCCAAGTAGTCCTGATGGAAACTAACAGAGGGTGGAGGGACCACCCTGACCCCAGGCCAAGCTTGCCCCCATGACATCCTATGCACTTTCCCTGAGCTTATCCCTGGCCGGGACCTGCTGTGTGCATACATGTGAGTTTGACACAGACTCCTTAGAGAAGCTGCTTGACCTGCCTCTGTCTCCATATGTGTGAGAACAGGGGATGGTCAGAACATGGGAAAACTCTCAGATGTGTGGGACAGCACTGTCACCTGGGCGGTGGGTCCAGGCAGGCCTGATGTGCCCCTGGGGCCCCCTTCCACAGTGGCATACTGTTTGCCCTGTCCCCATCCCCAACAGTGACACTGTCTGCCTCTTCCCCGCCCCCCACAGTGATGCTGTCTGCCTCTTCCTTCTCCCTTGTGATGTTATCTTCCCTGTCCTCCATTCTGTCCCGACAGCCTTGGAGCAGCAGTGTGACGAGCACCGCCGTCGTGCCAAGGAGCTCAAGCACAAGTCACAGCACCTTAGCAACGTGCTCATGACACTGACGCCCGTGTCCCTTCCCCCCCCAGTGAAGCGGCCCCGGCTGGCACGGGCCACATCAGGACCAGCTGCTGTGGCCTCACAGGTGCTCACCCAGTCTGCCCAGATAGCACTGGGCCCGGGCATGCCTGTCTCGCAGCTGACCAGTGTGCCACTGGGCAAAGTGGTGTCCACTCTGCCCTCCACCGTCCTGGGCAAGGGCTCCCCTCAGGCTCCTCCTGCCAGCTCGCCCACCTCCCCGCTGCTTGGGGGTTACACAGTCCTGGCCTCCTCGGGCTCTACATTCCCCAGCACTGTGGAGATTCACCCGGACGCATCCAGCCTGACAGTCCTGAGCACGGCCGCCGTGCAGGACGGAAGCACAGTGTTCAAGGTGGTCAGCCCACTACAGCTGCTCACCCTGCCTGGCCTGGGCCCCACCCTACAGAACGTGGCCCAGGCATCACCTGGGGGCAGCACCATCATGACAGTGCCTGCAGGGGCTGCCCCGGGGCCCGAGGAGCACACGGCCACCATCGAGGTAGCCACCATGGCAGAGGACCACGAGCAGAAATAGCTGGCAGAAGTGAGGCCCCTGGGGCGGACAGGGCTGCTGCCTCTCCTCAGATAGAGCACAGCGCTGTGGCACAGGGCTGGCTCAGGCAGGCGGGTCATGTGGGCTGCTGAACCAAAGAGAGGAATCACCAAACATGCAGAGAAGAGAGAGGCCCAACGATGACAGCAACCTGGGAATCGGTCTCCAAGTTTCAAACTTCCTCCCCCTTTTTTCTTGGGAAATATATTTTTCCATCTGTTGCTTGTTAACGCTGTTGACACACTGGGCCTTGATTAGGAGCCAGGCGGACAAGGACAGGAGGGCCTGGGTGCTGCCAGGATGGAGAGAGCAGAGCTGGGCACCAGGCGCCCAAGACCCTGAAGGCACAGGTGGTGCCGCAGCCCCACTGGGCACTCCCAGGTTCAGTGAGGCCTTTGTGCTGGCTGGGCAACATTACTCACATGTCTTGGGAACCTCACCCAAGTGTGGAAACCCTGGATCCTATGGATTTGGTTTCTTCCCACAGTTTTCTGTAGGTTTAGTGTAGCTGGCGCCCTGTTCTGCCTGTGTGGGAACATGCACTGGGGTTGGGGTGCAGATCGGAGTGGGCTCCCATCTTCCCACCCAGCAGGTGCTTAGGTGTCTGAGGGGCCGCACAGACTAGGTGTGGTCCAAGCACCATGGCACTTATACTGTGGGTATGTTTAAGTGACTTGTTTTTAATAGGCTTCTAGGAAGAGTTAAATTTATGGCATTTTCAACCAAAACAATGCTGAGTGCCTAGGCTTCTCAAGTCAGCTCTGGGGGTGGGCCCGGAGTTTGTGAGTTCACCCAACCAGGTATGGAGTCCTAAGTGGTCTCCCTTCCTGAGATGGCCCCTCTGGGGCCTGCATCCGTGTAGGATTTGCCAGTGTATGGCCCCATGTGCAGCCTGCTGATGGGGCCACCTGACTCAAGTCCTGAGGCCCCCTGGGAATGATATATGGTGGCCCTGGTCCAGGGGAGAGCCCAGGGCAGACTGGTTGGGGCCAGCTGGGAAAAGTACAGCCCAGGCACTCCTGCTGGGCTGTCCTACCTCCAGGCCACAGCCCTGGAGCCCGACCTCTCAGGGGCAGCACACCCCAGGGCTCCTACTATCTCCTGCAGGCTGGAAGTCCCTTTCCTGGGCTCCCTGCAGTGGGAGGCAGCTGCTGTCCTATTGGCTGCTCTGGAGGGAGCTATAAAAACCCCCAGTCCAAATATCCATCCATGGAGTGCCCTGGGCCCCCCTTAGCACTGCTGTGATGGGGCCTGTCCTGCCCCACCCTTGTCAGGCTACTGAGTTTTTCTCTTTTTTGCTTTCTTCCTATTGCATTTCTGTGTGTTGTCACGAGTCAGCTGGTCAGCTGGTTTATGTGTTTGTGTACATATTCCTTTTTTAAACTCATTTTTACTCAAGTGTGAATCCTGTCATGGGCGGCCGTGTGGCCCTGGGCATCTGCAGGACCCTTTTCCCACCCACCAGCTCAGCTGTATGACCATGGGGCTCTCAGTCCCGAGAGCTGGGACTTCCACAGGCTTCCCCTTGTCAGGGTTACATGTGCATCTCCCTTCACAGCTGCTCCCAATTTGAACTCAAAGTGAGTTGTGGGTCCGTTCTTTCTTTCCATCGAAAGGCAAGGGTGGGACCTGTTCTGCCCCTGCCCCTCAGTTGTAGGAGACTGACCACAAGGTTGATGTCGGAGCCCTGTAGGAATAACCCTCAAACCAGCTTTGGGATTAGCCCCCAGCTGCCCATTCTAGTGGGCTGGGTGGCCATTCCCAGGGCTCCCACAAAGCCACATGCAGCTGCTCTTGGCAGGGGCTCCATCCTCAGGGTTGTTGGCACTGCCTTTGTTCCCACTGGCAGGCCCCCGTGCCCCTCCAGGTCCTCTGGGCTCCCCAGATGGCTGCACTCCTGGGACCTCTTGGTCCTGCCCATTGGGGTCTGACCAGGACCCAGAAGGGAAGGCCTCTCAGCCACCTGCCAAACACGGGTTTTGTGGCTGCCTTTGGTCTGGTGTTCTGAGCAGTAGGTTGGGTTGGTTTTTCAGAGAGGGTAAGAACTCCATATGCTCAAAGGCACCCTGGGGAAGGGCCACGTTTGAGTTCTGCTTTGTATGTTGTTTTTGCAAGTATCTGCTTGGTACTTTGATTTAAAATAAAAACATTTTTCATAGTTTGTGTGTCCGTCTCTTGTACAAAAGGTTATGGAGAGAATTGAATCAAATTTGAAAAACACCCAGTATGGACAGTGTCAGCTTACTCCAGGCTCCTCACATGCACCCACATACTCAGCCTTTGCACAGTGTGGTCTAGGGGCTGCAGGGTCCCTCCAGGTGTATCTCAGTTAAAACCATTTGCATAGGCTCGGCGCCTGTGGCTCAACCGGCTAAGGCGCCAGCCATGTACACCTAAGGTGGCGGGTTCGAATCCCCAGCCCGGACCCGCCAAACAACAATGACGGCTGCAACCAAAAAATAGCCGGGCGTTGTGGCGGGCGCCTGTGGTCCCAGCTACTTGGGAGGCAGAGGCAGGAGACTTGCTTGAGCCCAGGAGTTGGAGGTTGCTGTGAGCTGTAATGCCATGGCACTCTACCCAGGGGGACAGCTGGAGGCTCTGTCTCAAAAAAAAAAAAACAAAAAAAACCATTTGCATAATAGCCCAGGTTCGGTTTGCATTCCTTGTTCCCTCCCAGGGGCTTGACAAATGGATTCCAAGGGAACACTGCAGACGGGGCAGCTAGTAAGTGTCCCCAGGCTCAGGTTTGAGGGTGTCTGCAAATTACTGGGGTGGACGGAGTGAGGATGGGCTGGACTACACCTGATCTGAGGCTGGAGGTAGGGTCACCTCCACCTGGGTATGGGCCTGTGCCTGATGGTGAGTAGCTGGACAAGATCCCCTCAAGCCTCACGGGGTATGCTGCCCCGCACCTGCCCTTCTGTCCTAGTGGGGCACCTACCCCAGGGCTGTAGGAAGTGGGGTAGCCAGACACAAACCCACACCATTGATGGAAACAATGTGGCCCATAGGCCAGGGTAATGTGTGCTCTGAAAGTCAGGGAATGGGGGGGCTTAAAGCCGCCTCCTGGTGACTAGTGTCTGCCCCCAGATGCTGCCATCTGATGGGCACTGGTCCAGGTGAGTCCATTGCTGCAGTGAAGAGCTGACTGCGTCAGTGTGCCCATCTGAGCCTTCAGGCTGAGCCTCCCAGGTGTCTGCTCCTCAGGTCTCATGAATCCAAGACAAGTTCCTGCTCTGTGTTATCCCCAACCTGCTCCTTCACTGTCATGCCTTGAGCGAGACACCAGTGTGTCCCCAGTTGCTCAGCCCCTTCCTGTGATGTTTCCCCTCTTAATTGGTCAAGTCCCATCTTGTAGCCAAGATAACCCTGCCTCTGGTCTCTTAATTCTCTGTTGTCCATTCCCTGCCTGTGGCCCCAGTGTCCCTCTGGCCTAGGTGGGGTTGCACTTATTCATACACCCTGTGAATACTTTCCACTCCTGACACTTCTTGGGGGTTTGCGAGCTCAGAGCCACCTCTCATGCCTATCAAGTAGATGTTCCCAGGTGTAGGCCCCAGCACCGTAGAGGGTAAAGGAGTGGAGAGTGGGCAGCGGCTGAGTCACATCCCCTTGTCTGGTTGTGCTGAGGTCTATCCATTCACCTACTGAAGGACACTTGATGGTGGCAAGGTTTGAGCAGTGAGTGGGCTATAAACAACTGTGTGCAGGTCTCTGTGGATATATGTTTTCAACTCTTGAGTAAATACCAAGAAGCACAATTGTGGGATTGTGTGGTGAGGGTGCATTTGGTTTCACAAGAAACTGACAAACTTCCCCAGCAGCTGCTCCATTGTGCCTGCCTGGTGCTGCAGTGAGTAAGGCTCCCATCACATTGCACCCTCCAGCCTTCATGTCCTCGTTGTTTTGTTTTTTTTTTTTTTTTCAATTTGGGCCATTCTGGTAGGTGTGTAATGGTGTCTCATTGTCTTACTCTGTAAATCCCTAGTGACTCACGATGTGGAACTTATTTTCATATGTGTATTTCCATCTGTACGTCTTGTTTGGTGAGGTCTTACTCTGTCACCCTGGGTTGAGTGCCAGAGCTCATAGCTCACAGCAACCTCAAATTCTTGGGCTGAAGTGATTCTCTTGCCTCAGCCTTCTGAGTATCTGGGACTACAGGAGCCTGCCACAACACCCAGCTAGTTTTTCTATTTTTAGTGGAGACAAGGTCTCACTTTTGCTTAGGCTGGTCTTGAACTCCTTCCGCCTTTGCCTCCCAGAGTGCTGCGATCACAGGTGTGAGCCACCGCATCCAGCTGTCTATTCAGAACTTTTGCCTGTTTTTTGATCAGGTTACTCATTTTCTTACTGTTGCATTTTAAGAGTCCTTTACATATTTTGGATACTGATCCTTTATCAGAATTGCCTTTTGCAAATACATTTTCCCAGGTTGTGGTTTGTCTTCTTATTTTCTTTACAGAGTCCTTCACACAGAAAATGTTAATTTTAATGAAGTCCAGCGTGTCAAGCATTTCTTTCATGGGCCATATGTTTGGTGTTGCACCTAAAAAGTTACTGCTACATCAGAAGCCTTGTGGGTTTTCCTCTACATTATCTTCTAAGTTTTATAGTTTTGTTTCACATTTAGATCTGTGATTCATTCTGAGTTAATTTTTATGAAGAGTGGTAATGTTTGTGCCTAGCTCCTAGATTGCTCAGCACTGTCTGTTGGAAAGGCACTTTTTCGGCTCTGATTCTTTGTCAAAGATGGGTTGCCGTCTGGAGTCTCTATTCTACTCCATCCACACCTCACTGTCTGGATTACCGCAGTGATTTATAGACCAGTAAGCCTGGAATTGGGGAGTTTCTGTCCTCTGATCTTGTTCTCCTCCTTCCACATCGTGTGGGTTACTCTAAGTCTTTTATATGAGCCTCTTCATATAAACTTTAGAATCAGTTTGTTCATGTACACAAAGTAACTTTGTGGGATTTTGGTTGGAATACATCGAAGCTATAGGTCAAGTGGGACACTTCATATATTTTAAGGTTAGGTTATTACAGGGGTGGGAACCTTTCGTGTTGGAAGCTGCATTAATTTAGCTATAATCAATTAGGGCTGGAGTCAAGAAACTCCAATTAGATAAACTCAAAAAATGTATGTTACTTTGTAAAAATCTTACTGTGTACTGAATAATTTAAAAAAATGAAAACTCTTGGTTAATTTTTTTTTTTTTTGAGACAGAGTCTCACTATGTCACCCTCAGTAGAGTACCGTAGTGTCACAGCTTACAGCAACCTCAAACTCTTGGGCTTAAGTGATTCTCTTGCCTCAGCCTCCCAAGTAACTACAGATGCCCGCCAGTGACTCACTTTTTTTTTTTTGAGACAGAGCCTCAAACTGTCTCCCTGGGTAGAGTGCTGTAGCATCACAGGTCACAGTGACCTCTAACTCCTGGACTCAAGCGATTCTCCTGCCTCTGCCTCCCAAGTAGCTGGGACTACAGGCACCCGCCACAATGCCTGGCTATTTTTTGGTTGCAGCTGTCACTGTTGTTTGGCGGGCTGGGCTGGATTCCAACCTGCCAGCTCAGGAGTATGTGGCTGGTGCCTTAGCCACTTGAGCCACAGGCACCGAGCCAGTGACTCACTTTTTAAATGATTATCTGGAGCAGGCGTCCTCAAACTATGGCCCGTGGGCCACATGCAGCTCGCTTAGGACTTTTTTTTTTTTTTTTTGCAGTTTTTGACCAAGGCTGGGTTTGAACCCTCCACCTCCGGTATATAGGGCCGGCGCCCTACTCCTTTGAGTCATAGGCGCTGCCCTGGCCTAGGACATTTATCCGGCCTGCCAGGTGTTTTTGCAACCACTGCCTGTCCCACTTAGCAGCCAACTTGTCCCGGGGCCCGCAGTCCAGCCCTCTAACGGTCTGAGGGACAGTGAACTGGCCTCCTGTTTAAAAAGTTTGAGGATCCCTGATCTGGAGTATAAGGCAGCCACATGGCTTTCAGGCCGGATGGAAGGAGGTGGTGGAATTTTCACCTGATCTCTCTCTCTCTCTCCCCTCTCTCTCTGATTACTTAGGAGCCTAAGCTGCCATGCTGGAGAAATTCAGATGCTCAGGAAGCTTTGCAGTTCACACCCCAGCCTTTTGGTGGTGAAAGCATGACCCCAGCTGCCTGGCATGGGAGGAGAAGCCTCAGGTAACTCCAGCTACAGAACGCAAGACTTCTGGCCAAGACTCCAACATCGTGAGACCAGCTGTCCCTGCTGTGTTCTCTCTGCATTTTTAGCCTATGGAACTTCTGGGCATTATAAGTGCTTGTTTTATGCCATTGAGTTTTAGGGTCATTTGTTACATAGCACATCAACTGGGGCATAGTGTGTTGTAATCAGCTTCCTTCCCTCTGAGCCACACATCTATCATCTGAGTCATGTTCACTGTTTGGTGGCTTGAGGGCCAGATGTGGGGGACCCCATCTGAGCAGTGTCCTGTCTGTTGGGACAGGCAAGGCTGGTGTTCTGCATGTGGCAGGAGTTTCATGGGGCAGTTTGGCCTTGGCCTGGCTGGACTCCATGGGTTTCCATATGTTATATTATTTCCTCTGTTTGGGGCTCCTGTTCCCTAAATGTACAAGTTTGTATAAACATCCTCCACATCTGGGTGGGGTAGGGTGGCTGCTATCCCAGGTCCCCAGATTTGTGTAGGCCCTGGTCTCTGCTTTGGCGGCCCTAGTCTGGCTCCTGTGCTGACCCCGTGAGAGATGGAGGTGGGTAGTACCTTGGGTTTCTCAAACCTATTGCTGGACAATACCCAGCCCATAGGCAGATGTCAGACCCTAGGCTCACAGGGTCCATGGAGTTTTGCTCCCACTAGCTTGGTTCCTCTTTCCTCATTGCCATCTGGTAATCATACAGGGTTGTGTCTGAGCTCTTAGCCACACACATGCTAATGCACATGTCCACACATGTAAAGGCATACATTCACTGTTTGGGCTGTCATATATATAATGAAATGCAGAGAGGTTTGGTGTGGCAGCTCCCGCCAGTCATCACAACAGTTTGGGAGGCTGAGTCGGGAGGATCACTTGAGCCCAGGAGTACACAGTCCATAGTGGGCTGTGACTGTGGCATTGTGCTCCAGCCAGGATGATGGAGTGAGACCACATCAAGAA